GATGGGGACTCCCAACTCCCTGGGCAGCCCCTTCTGATGACTGACAACTCTTTTTGTGAAGAATTTCTTCCTGATGTCCAGCGTGAACCTGCCCTGGCACAGCCTGAGGCCGTGTCCCTGCTCATGGGTGGTGGGCAGCATGAGACAGCAGCTGGAGATGGGGGGAAGGTGGCATGTCTGCAGGTATTGTGACCTTTTTCAGCTGCTTGAGCCTGGAGGGATTTTGTGCTGGTGCTTCCCATGCCAGTGGCTACAGACCAAGAAGGAATTTCAGTGGTTGGATTTGGTCAGAACATTGTTTCAAAAGCACATTTGCCTTTCAAGAAATGAAACACAGAAGGGGGCCTTCAGGCCAGAGCTCAGACTAATGAGCTGCATGTGAAGGAAAACAAGACACTTGCTAGGCTTTGTTGGAGAGATAACAAATTTAATTACATGGTGCAGGAGCTGTAGATGGAACAGGAAGCATGAGTGCTCAAGGGGAGATGGATGTTGTGTATCCTGGTGGGAGAGGACCTCTGATGATCTTTATAAGCTTTTCTCAGTGAACAGTTTGAAGTTCTCATGTCTGTCTCTGTCTCTCCAGGAAAGCTTCACTCTTTGTAGCTGTCTGATGTCCTGAAGGACTCGAATTCTCTTTTAGGCAATAAGAACAGCAAGTGTTGAGGTTTATAGCATGGGTTAAACTGTCAGATGTTGATGGTATTCCCCAGGGAAGGATCTCTGGGTCCTGTCAGCTAGCCAGTGCTGTCTGCTTTAAGATAAGACATCAAAGCCAGGCAGAAGCTGTAAATGGGTGGGCACTTAATTATCAAACTAAGTGAAAAGTGTGCAAGAATAAACAGGTAGAACTAAGTCCTGTGATGAATCTTCACTGCAGTCACTGAGGGGACCTCAAAACAGTCATTTCCTGATGTTTGCTTAGACCTATTCATGCAGGGTGAGAAGTGGAGGATGGGAGTCCTGGAATAAGCCCCTAGCCAACCTAACTTGCTGATCTGTGGGGGCAAACCTTCCCTGTGGGTCTCACCAAAGCCTGTTAATCAGGATTCTTCCAGAAAGAAGGTGCTGTAGAACCAACCCTTGGGCTTTTGGAGTTTACATACCTTGACATTAGGGACAGGTGAAGTTGTGTTTGTTCCCTGCTTCTCCTCAAGAGGCTGAACCTTGCCTGGCTGCAATGTGATCCTCGGGCATGCCGGGAGCCTGCCAGGTTTTGGGCAGGGTGCTGAGTCAGAGCTCTAGCTGTAGTGGAGAAATCAAGAAAACCTTCTCAGAGATGGTGGTGCCTCTGCAGTGTTTTGTTGCAAATCAGAGGGCTTGAATTTGTACAACCCTCTGGTCTCCCAAGCAGTATAAACCCTAAACTTCCAGTAATTTTTGTCCAACGGGAACTCAAGGAGTTTCCCTGTGGCTTAAGGGCACTTGAGTCTTGGTGGTGCAGACACTGTGCCATCAGAGAACTGGTGAGACTGGAAGTGGCAGTGTCCTCCAGCTTGGTGATGGAACGTGCTCCCTGCACTCCCTGCCTAGGTGTCCTTGTGCAGTCTGCTCCTGGCAGGAGTGTTCTCCCTTTTTATTTTTCCAGAATAGCTGAAAGACTTTTCTTTTTCAAGTTTCCACCATGTGGATCAGCTCCTTGTCCTTGGCTGTTTATGCCACATCCAGGACTTGACACTGGCTCATGCATCTCCTGCTCCTCTCCCTAGTTTCCATGAGCACAAGAGTGAAATGAGGCTGGACAGTTACTGAGATTTGCAGAGCAAATTCTGCTGTTCTCTGCTGGCAGCCAGGGAAATTAAATCCAGACTGACTGAGCTTCCCAAAGAGCAGGTAGACTCCAGCTGGGGGCTGATGGCTTTGTGCTGCTGCCAAGCCCTCCTAATGCCAAATGAAGACTTTCACCAGTGGCTTGGTTGAACTCACTTTGTTTCGGTATCCTGCAGTGTAAAAAAAAACCAAGAAAACAAAAACCAGCATTTGTTTGGCCAGCACAGGCTGCAGAGAAGGCACAGCCCCACGTGCATGTGACAGGCTGGTGCAGAGGTGTTGGAGTGGTTTCTGCTGGAGATGGGCACTGGTGCAGTGCTGTGGAAAGAGCAGAGTGACAGTGACTGCACAGACTGGAAAATGCCAGCACAGGTGAGCGGGCAGCAGGCAGCTCTGGGCAGACCAAGGGCAGAGATGTCCTCAAAGGCACCTGAACCTGGGATGCAATTTCTGCCTTTTTCTGACTCTGATAAGGCTGCTCAGTGTACCCTGCTGTCTGATACCTGCGTGCTGGGCATCTTGCATTTTCTTCCTGCTGGGAATGCAAGAGCCAGATGGTTTTCTGTTCTTCCTCCCTCAGCTCAATTGTGAACTGAAATGTGTGGGACAGCAGCCTCTTCCCTCTGCAGTGCTGAGGGCTGTGGTCCTTGTCCCCACCCATGTCACATCTTGGCCATGTCTCTGCAGTGCTCCTTCCTGGGAGTCTGGGTCCTGCTAGAAAGCAGTGACATGGTTAACAAGGCTCTCTTCCTGCTTTTACAAGTTCCCTGTGAGCTCCCTAGGGGAATCTGCTGTCTCCACAGGTGTACCTTCCATCTGTCAGCCTTCAGAATGAAAGGATTTTGACAGGCAACTTTCCTCCGTAATCCTTAATAGCTTCGAATTTAAAATGTTTATGGCAAAGCTAATCCCACGGAACTCCCTGTAGTTTTAATAAATCTGTCCTCCAGCAAGACTTCTTCTGGTGAGAAGAGGTAAATCTACTTCTTCCTGCAGTGATAAGTATCTGCAGACGTGTCTGTGGGGCACCTGCTTGTTCCTCACTTCAAAACTGGTGTCTCTTCTCAGGGAGCACCTTGCTAAAAGCAAAATTTAATCTGGTGATCAATCTCCTCAACCGCTGTCAGGACAGAAGACTCTTGGAATCAGTGAGTCTCTTATATAGCTGTTGGTGTTGGACACTTCATTTACAGCTGGAAGAGAATAACTGAGGCTGGGATTTCTGGATGTTTCTATTTCCAAATCCCTCACTCAAAACAGGGCAGCTTAGGTGGAATAAGCCCTCAGGTAACCTGATGGAGTCTTTGGTAGCTCTGAGGACAGACAACCTGTAAGCTCTGGACCAGGGGAACACCTTGGTTGTGCACCCAAAGATGTCTTTAACTCACAAAATCTTTACTGTGGTTTGTGCAGGTGTCACCGAGAGGGGAGAATGAAAGGAGACATTTTGTAAAACTGCAGAGTAGAGACCTCAGTGCAGCAGGCAGGCTGGAGGCAGCATGTTAGTGTCTCCCCATGGGTATTTGGGCACCTTGTGGTTGGGCCCTGCTGCAGGAAGCAGGATATCACAGGGATCCCAGGGCCCTGTGGTTAAACAGTCACTGTTGTCTTGGCTAGGAGAAGGGTGTGAAGGTTGGCCTGGCACCGGGAGCTGCGGGATGGCCCGGGCATCGCTGCCCTGCTTACCTTGGGCGGGAGCACTGGGAGCTGCCCTGGCATCCTGCTCTGTGCTCTTTGTCCTGCGCTGCTGGTGGCTGCTGATAGTCCCAGGAGATGCTGCCCTCATCAAGGTGACACCCATTTCCCTGCTCCCTCGCTGTCTCTTACCCTGGAGCAGAAGCAGTTGTGCTGGTTTGCACAGGAAGACCCTCTTCCATGTGGAAAAGGGGTGTCCGCTGTTCCTCTGCCAGGTTCTAGAGCATCCTGTGGAGCAGCACAAATCCACACAGCAGCAGGGGTGGAAGTGGAGGGTCTGCTTGCTGTGGGGGAAACAGGCTTAGCTGTACCTGGTTTTGGGAGGGGACATTAGCCAGAGCATGCAGGAGGAGTGGATGTTCTGGAATGTGCAGGTGTGAGCAACATGGTATGAGCAACCGTGAGTCATTCCAGGCCATTCAAATGAGCCTGGGCTGGGCCTTTGGCCTCCTGATCCCCACCATAAATGTGGTTATCTGGGCCCAGAGCAAACCTTGCCCTTACAGATCCTTGTGAAAGTGACTCAGTGTTTGCAGAAGCTTTTCACATCCAAACCATTACCTAATCCTTTACGGCCGTGAGGTGGCTCACAGGTTCCTGCTTTGGTGGCCTGATTCCCAGGTGGCTGTGCCCAGGATGTGTGGTGGGGGCGTGTCCTGGGGGAAAGGGGACAGTGGCCATGCCCAGGCTCAAAGTGGCACTTGGCAGCTGTAACCCCAGGGGAGCGGCCGTGTGCAGCTGCCCCGTGGTGTCCTGTCTGCTGCAAGGGCTCCTCCTGCTCCTGGGGCTGGGAAGCTGCTGCAGTCTTGGCCAAAGGTGCTGCCTGGGTGGCTCCAGCCAGTGATGGTGTTGTGGAAGCTGGAATGGGGTTATTGTCACACTGAGTGATGCTTCCCAAGTTACTGAGGGAGCTCTGTGCTTGTCATCTCTGTAATCCCTTTGGTTTTTTTGTGGTGCATGAGGCAGGTAACACTGTTAACCTGAGTGAGGAAAATCCAGTGTGAGGGATTTCCCCTTCACCATGTGAGCTTTTAAGTCCTCATTTGTGCAGGTGCCTGAGGCAGTTGTAATTGTGTAATCTCATCTCAGAGATTCTTTGGGTGTCTCTGAAGCATACCCCATGCTTGTGGGAAGCAGAAAATAAGAACACCCTGTAGCTCTGGTGGTGTTACTGCATACAGATAGCTCATAACTCTGGACCATCTCCTCCTTGCTTTGACTGTCCCTCTCCCCTACACCACCAAGCCCAACTGTCATCCTACAGGTGAAAGGCATCTCTTTCCTAGAAGATTTTTCTTGTTCTGGAAGATGCTGATCTCTCAAATAAAACCACATGCCTGCTCCTTTTGTTGTGGGTCTGGACCACGGTATGATTTCCCAGCTGGCTCCTGCAGAGAAGAGCTGGATACAGAGCAGGACTTGGCGAGCCAGCTGCCTCCTCCTGCCTCTCTCTAGAGATACACAGAGGAGTGATGGGATGTCAGAGGGCTGGGGCTTAACCCAAATGTCTCTTTTCTCCCCCTCTCTCCACGCAGGTGACGGAGCTGAACGAGCCCCTGTCCAACGAAGAGAGGAACCTGTTGTCCGTCGCCTACAAGAACGTGGTGGGGGCGCGGCGCTCGTCCTGGCGAGTCATCAGCAGCATCGAGCAGAAGACCTCCGCAGATGGGAACGAGAAGAAGATCGAGATGGTCCGTGCCTACCGCGAGAAGATCGAGAAGGAGTTGGAAGCGGTGTGCCAGGATGTGCTGAGCCTGCTGGACAACTACCTGATCAAGAACTGCAGCGAGACGCAGTACGAGAGCAAAGTCTTCTACCTGAAGATGAAAGGGGACTATTACCGCTACCTGGCCGAGGTGGCCACCGGGGAGAAGAGGGCGACCGTGGTGGAGTCTTCGGAGAAGGCCTATAGCGAAGCCCACGAGATCAGCAAGGAGCACATGCAGCCCACCCACCCCATCCGGCTCGGGCTGGCGCTTAACTACTCGGTTTTCTACTACGAGATCCAGAACGCGCCGGAGCAGGCCTGCCACCTGGCCAAGACGGCCTTCGACGACGCCATTGCCGAGCTGGACACCCTCAACGAGGACTCCTACAAGGACTCAACGCTCATCATGCAGCTCCTCCGCGACAACCTAACGCTCTGGACGAGCGATCAGCAAGACGACGACGGCGGAGAAGGCAACAACTAGACCCCCCCGATGGACTGGCAGCCGCACGCTGATGCTAACTACTGCAGTCTTTATTTTTTTCCCACGAGTGGGGGGGGGTCCGGGGTGGGGGAGGGAAAGGGAGGGGACACCTTCCCAGGGAGGCCCCCCACAACCTGTCTTTGATTGCCTCGTTGACATTTTTGCCAAAACACCACTAGTGGAAGTCAGGCTGGCTGTGCTGGTATGGAATAGCAGCCTCACTGGCATATGGACTGTTCTGTAGATTATTAATACAAGTGGAGCTGTCTTTAATTTAACTTTATTGCTAGAAATAAAAAAAGGGTTTGAAGACGAATTTGCGTGGATGGAATGGCCCTCATTTTTAAGGAAAGCAACGCAAAAACATTTGGGAAAAAAAAAAAAAAAGGGAGTTCTGTGGTTCCAGTAAGGCTTTGAGCGTTTGTTTCCGCAGCCCAGGTGCCGTGTGCCCACACCACGTCGCGGGGCCTCTCTCTGCATCTCTGCAGCGCTCTGCCTGCCAGGGCGCAGCTGCAAATCCCCAAAATTGAAAAGGAATTAAAAATAAAACCAACAAAACTAAAGAATTTGGGGCTTGCAAAGCCCTGGGATTTAGGCCATCCAATATTTTTTTCCTTTTTTTTTTTTTTTTTTTTTTTTTTTTTTTTTTTTTTTTTTTTTTTTTTTTTTTTTGTTGAGATATTTATTAGGGTAGCTTACAGTATTAACACTAAATTGCAGTTTACAGTATTTCTACATTACAGCCATATGACATCAAGCCTTTGATTGTCTGTTTTTCTTTCTTTTGCTAGTTCTTTTGGCTTGCCTTCCTGAGCAGTCCTCGCCTGTGGACTGGCTTTAGCTATTCTGTGTCGCCCAAGGCAAGAAGACCGCCCGCCCGAGGAACATCAAAGCTGCTCTAGTTTTTTGGTCAACAGCTTAACAGGTGCTTGGCTAGCGGCTGTTTCAACTATTTTAAGTCCACAGCAAAAGGTTTAAGAACTTAATTAGACAAAAGGGGGAAGTGTTTAAACTTAAAAATGCCACTTAAATAAAAAACCAATAAAAAAATATTAAAAAAAAAGAGCATTCAGGTCTGTATGTCATGTACTGTGTTTGGTATTTCAAAAGACCATCCTGATTTAAGGTGCCACAGCTGCTTCCTCAGGGATTGCACTGCCATTTCACTCTGCCTGACTTTCTCCCACTGTACCATGAGGTTTGTCAGCAGATCTCCAGCACCCAGGGCTCCCTTGTTTGTCACCAGGGAAGCCGGGTGTGTTTTCTTTTCTCCTGGGGAAGCTTGTGGTGTAATGAGTGAACTTCAGGAGCTTAGACACTAATTTGGTAGAGAAATTCCTCGAGGGAAGAGCTACAATCATAGACATTTCTGTCCACCTTCAGGAGCCCAGGAACTTAGTTCTCTTCTTAGCAAAATCTTTTCTGAGTCTGTCTGATCCGGCCGGGGGTGGGAGTTGGGGCATCTGAATTTGCTTAGCAGGTACTACTTACCCCATTTTGAGTAAGTTTAGCTTTAATTTTGATTTTTTTCCATGGTTGTTGGAGGTTCACTGCTGTTCTCTGGCTCGCGGAGTGCTGCGCCCTGCAGCGCTTCCCCCAGCGCTGCGCAGTGAGGAGAAACCGCGCTCGTGCTTTAACTCCTTACCGTGATTGTGATGCTGATTTTGGAACCGGGCTTTCCCTGTCCCTTGCGAGAGCCAGCCCGACACGGCTGGGGGGCACACAGCACACACGGCACTGCCCAGCCCGGCCCTGCCCGCCACGGCTTTGT